TCCGTACCCACTATATATATATATATATATATATATATATATATATATATGTGTGTGTGTATTAGTGCTGTCAAAAGATTAATCTAATCCAAAATAAAAGTTTTTGTTTACATAATATATGTGTATATTTATTATGTATATATAAATACACACATGCATGTATATATTTCAGAAAAATATGCTATGTTTATATAATATTTAATTAATAATTAAATATATTTATATATAATATAAATTGTATGAAGTAAATACTTGTACATATTTTCAAAATATGTATACTGTATGTATAAAACAAAAACAGACATTCCAACACGGAACACACATTTCAAAGTAGAATATATGGTTGTAGCATTGTTTTTCAGGGGAATTTAGCATGTCTCCTAAATATGCGCAAACATATAATGATATTTTTAAGCTTTACTACAGTCAAAAAAATTACATACAGCACCTTTAAAATGAAAATTGAATATTAATTATTTGAGTATTAATAAAACCTAAAATCAGTAATACTAAAATAACACTGCTCAGTATTGCTTTTGTTGCACCAAAGATAATGGTTCAGTGTACACATTTGACACAAAATACTAGTTGATAAATGGCAGCATGGTTAATTGTTTGCACTTCCATTAGACAGTTGAAAACCTTTGTAAATGTTTCTCTGGACAAAAAGCACTTGATAGGTTACCAATAAACCCTTATGAAGCATTTCAGTTTAACATAGATGGTAAATCTCTAACAATGTATAAAACACTAGCAAGATCAGACGCATCTTCCCACTCTGTGACCTCCCTCTCCGTCAAATTTCTCAGCACACATTCAGCCTCACGGTCTCATCGCACTCTCACATAAATCTGACGCCACTGTCATCTTTCCTTCCACTGCCCATCTTTTACAGCTGGCGAGATGACAGCCTCTCAGCCTCTTCACAAAACACATGCTAACCAGCGCCGATGCCTCTGCCGTGCCAGTCAAAGCCGAGACTTTCCAAAAGCTTTCAAAGGCAGATATCTTTGTGTTTAGATGAGCTGTTGATTACAGCTTTGATAAGATGATAAAGTTTGTTTTAAAGTCTTTAGTGTGTTTTCTTAAAGTTTTACTGTTTTATCCCTGAGATAACAGTCTCTTTAAAGAGATGTCTGTTATTAAAGTCATTTGAAATTCCACTTTTGAAAAAGTTTCAAAATTAATTTATTAAATGTGAAAGATCTTTCCTTTCATCAAATAATCCTGAAAACATATCATGGTTTTTATCAAATTAAGAAGCACAACTGTTTTTAACATTGATAATAATAAGTAATGTTTCCTGAGCATCAAGTCAGTAAATTAGAATGATTTCTGAAGGATCATGTGACACTGAAGACTGAGTAATGATGCTGAAAATTCAGCTTTGATCACAGGAATAAACTACCTTTTCAAATAAATATATAAAATAGAAGAAAAAAAAAGTTATTTTAAATTGTAATAAATTATAATATATCAAAGTATTACTTTTTACTGCATTTTTTTATCAAATAAAGGCAGCCTTGGTAAACATTTGAAATTCTTTCAAAAAAATACAAAATATTACCAACCAAAATTTTGCAAACTCATGCAACCCCTTTTGCATTACATGTGCAAGGATACCAGAAATAGTTTGTTCATCCACCTTGAAGAATAGAACTTTAAGGACAATTTGGACAACTTTTACAGCTCATTTAACACACATTTGTGCTAATTGCTTAATACAAGCAATTTATTAAAAATGTGAGCTACACATTTATGCTTTTGAACTCTTTAGAGTGTCTTGCCCTATAGACTCTCATTGTGTTTTTTTGCGGATTCAAGGTTAAAATGTTTGTGGTAAAACCAGAGCATTAATTTAAGTGTGAAATGTATTTAATTGACTGATAATAGATCTAAAAAATAGTGACGTGACATGTTGGGCCGCCGAGACTCATGGGTATTCTGTGAGGGTGATGACCATGGTCCCAGAGGGCTGTTCACCTAAGAACAATATGCTGGTGGGGATACCGACAAGATAACACTGACTCACCAGAAATACCCATGTCATGTCAGGACTACAAATGCTTCCATGCTTTTCATTCATGTTACAAATATAAATTATCCAAGGTAAACACTCAAGTAATATGTATTTCATTTAAAGGGATAGTTCGCCCAAATATTAAAATGTGGCATCATTCTGACCTCATTTATTTATTATTTTTAATTTTTCTGTGAGAAGATTTTAGTCACTGTTTTCAATACAGCAAAAGAGTATGTTGAAAAAAAATTGCATCCTACAGAAATGGTGCTTTTTGTACCTTTGGGAGTTTAGCTGTTTAAATCACCATCCACTTTTCTTTAATGCAGAATCTTTTATGTTTGACAGAAGAAAATAAGTAATGCTAATATTGTATGACATTGGTATGATGACAAGATTTTAATAATTGGTTGAACTTTTAAATAGTTTTCCTCAAATTGTTAAATTTGATCCAACAGCATGGATCGCTATGATGCATGTGCATGTGCACATACATACACACTTGAATCATGGCTTGATCTAATTGTGCAATCAGTATATGTGACCCTGGACCACAAAACCATTCATAAGTCGCTGGGGTATATTTGTAGCAATAGCCAAAAATACATTGTATGGGTCAAAATTATAGATTTTCTTTTATGCCAAAAATCATTAGGATAATCATATTACGTAAAGATAATGTTCCATGAAGATATTTTGTAAATTTCCTACTGTAAATATATTAAAACTTAATTTTTGATTAGTAATATGCATTGCTAAGAACTTCATTTGTACAACTTTAAAGGCGATTTTCTCAATATTTAAATTTTTTGCACCCTCAGATTCCAGATTTTCAAATAGTTGTATCTCAGCCAAATATTGTCCTATCCTAACAAACCCTACATCAATGGAAAGCTTATTTATTCAGTTTTCATATGATATATAAATCTCAATTTCGAAAAACTGACCCGTATGACTGGTTTTGTGGTCCAGGGTCACATATTTGTTTTTTATTTCAGAAGGCTTTTAATCTTGACTTCATCTAAACAATTTGTGATTTTTATTTCAGCAATGTCTTACAGAGCAGTACTTTCCTGCTTGATTCGCATGCCCGGGGTTTCTTTGTAAAAAAGAAAAAAAAAAAAAAAGACAAAAAGCAGCACGCCTCTCAATAAATTAAACATGATTTCAAATGCCATTTGCAAATCAGACACATTGAACTGTGTAAAACCACCTTGCACCCTCTCCTCCACCATTATCACGTATTATGCACAAAACAAAAGAGTCTCAAAAGCCCGCTTA